CAGATAGCTTCTCAGGTCTTACGGAGTGTAGAAGTGAACTGAAAGGAGAGCCAGTCATTTTCACATATTAAATCACTGTCTTACAGTGATGGAAATGGTCTTGGGCGAACAGGTGGTAAAGTAGGATTCTTCTCTTTGTGTGTTTGACTTTGGCAACAAACTCAGTGTGAGTGAAATAAGCAAGAAGCAAAGCGGAGGCTGGGTCCTCTGAGTGCACACTGAGCCATTTCAATCACTTAATTTCATTTTGCTCTAGTTCTATGCACTATGCAATACAGACAAGAGCTTATCTGTCTCAAAGTTGTATTAGAAGCATTTCAACAAGTTTATTTAGCAACATGCTTAGAACAGCATCTGGTACAGAGTATAAATGTAATGCTAGCTGCCGTTCTTTTTTTTTTTTTTTTCCTGACGTGTGTAACAGGATATATAGGGAGACTATGTGATTATGCTTGAAAAATGTGTGGGTATACCTATGAAGAAGTTATAATCAATCTCATTTAGTCCTTCATAACGAATGTGTTGAGTCATTACACCATCCGTATTACTGTAACAAAATCAAGTTTCGGTCAAGTCAGATCATTCAGATGCTTACGGTTACAAATCAGATTTCGAATACTCTGATTTTGAAAACTATACTTTTCCTATACTTTTAAGCTGTTATCTAGACAGGTTATATGATGAAACAGTGGAAACTGTTTCTAAGTAAAATTCCTGATCAAGAATTAAACATGATACATATCTGTATTTCTCTTGCTAAGTAGTAAGAAAAAATCTGTGGTTACTCTAACTAAATCTACCACCCTATGTCAGCTGCAGAGTTCATAGCCCCATGAAGCTGTTTCTTTCAGCATGAGTCTCTTCTGATCTAACATCGCCCTCTCCCTTCTTTCCTCCTATGCAGAACTACCCTACAGAGAAGGAAACAGTGAATGGGAGCAATGGTCCTGGGAACAGGGAACATAGAGTATACATTTAAAATACAAAAAGTAAAAAATGACAGTATTTAGGACTGTATTGACAAGGAAAGTCTACAAAATAC